TCCCGTCCCCCCCCCCCCGCTGATCAACGTAAGTTTCTTTTAATTAATATTATTATATTTATAATTTTAAATAGATTTCCATAAACATTCTTCTTATTATTACAAATATGATAATTTGTTTAAAAATAATTGTTGAAAAATATGTTTAGTAAAATGAGGAATTAAACGATAAGCTGACATAGCATATTGATTTAATTACATGCCGCAATAATTTGCGGTAACATGCGATAACATGCGCAATTTCTGAAATTATTATTCATGAAATTTAAATAGGTGAGGAATAAAAGATTTAGATCATATATTGTATATATTGTTTATTGTAAATTTCCAATAATACGTTTGCAAGAAAGAAGGGGAGAGACTGGTCTGATGCTACGGAGGCGTATTGCTCGGTACATTGCACTGCTGCCGCTCCGGAGGACGTCCACGTCGTTCAGGTGAGCCACGAAAGGGGGAAAGAACGTGTATCCGTCACACTAAAGACATGAAGCCACCACTCCACACACAGTGTTCGAACGGTGTCTCGTTAACTTGCGCCGGCCACTAATCTGCCCTTTACCGTCGGTCTCATCGAATCGGGATTTTTCCCACGTTTTTCCCAATTACGCACGTTCAAGCAGGCGCAGTTGCTATTCGAATTAGGTGAATAGTCGTTATCGCGTTGTCAACGAGAGTGCGAGAGCATTCTGTAACGAGCAATAATAGAGAGACTGAGGGTGCCGAAAATCTCAGCCGCACGGGAGTTCGACAGATTGGCGGTATCGCGCAAATTGGCCACAGGAAAACTCTTAAAATCGCGCGATCGCGATCAGTAAAGTAACTACACGTCACAAGCAACTCAGCTTCGGCCAGCGGCAAGAAAATTTTCAGGCCGATATTCGGCTTGTAAATTTTTCTGAAAAATTTTGTGAGTACTTAGATTATAATCTATTAACAAGTTATACTTTGAAGAAAGTTTTTTTATTCCACTGGTAGATAAGTTTAATCAAAGCTTAGTTTTTTTTTTTTGTTAACACTTTGAGTCTAATTGGGCGAATCCAAAAAAGTATATCCATAAAAGATAAATTGCATAATTGCACAATTACTGACCCAAAAAGAATTTTGCATTGAAAGCTTAATTAAATCAAAATTATTATTCAGTAAATTAACTCTTCTTTACATAAAATTACTTTTTCTCAATTTTATTATGCATTATTGCTTATCAAAACGACTGACTGCATCTTATATTCTAATTTTAATTTTACATTCTAAAGAAATTACTGGCAACTTAAAAAATGTTATAACTTCTACGCAAATAAAATCAAGGACAGATTTATAAGAAATATCGATTACGTAAAGTTATAAGTGCTACAAACATTATATGTCACCGTTTAAAATATAATTTTGGAAAACAAAGAATATTTTAATTTTTTATTAAAATTTAATTATTTTACATCAAAAAATAATGAAAAAAATATAATATATTGTAAATTATATTATACATTTTATCATTGTTAGTGCTGAAAATAATTTATCATTGTTAATAGTGCTGAAAAAAGATATTGCCGAATATTGAATACATTAACGTAATAGTGACCGATTCTCTGAACTGTTTTTTTATTTGAACAAAATGTAGATAAATTCAATTATTCCAGTTTATTTTTCTTTATTTTTTTTAAACAAAGCATAGTTTTTGAAGCAAAGCAAAATAGAACTGTAAAAGCATTGGTAATATTAATATTCACACATTTGTTGAAGCAAAATGATTTACAATTCGAAAAAAGTAATGATATATAATGATATATAATGAAGTTCAGCAAATAAGTAATGATGCATAATGAAGTGGAGAAAAAACAATGTTATATAAAACATAAATAAAACGTAGCTTCAGGGAATCTTCAATTCTCGATAAGAAAATTAATTTTCTGAATTATTTATCTCTTTTTTTACAAAGCTCGCATGTGCGAATAAGTGGTTTATTAAAAATTAAATCAAAATTATATATTATTCAATAAACTTCTCTTTACATGACATTGTTTTTTCTCAATTTTTCAATTATGCATTATTACTTATCTGCTCAACTTCATTATATGTATCATTATTATCATTATTATATCATTATAAAACTATGTTTTAATTATACTTCGAATAGGTATATTTTATTTAAACTATTTATTCGCGCAGTGAGCTTTGTAAAAATAGAGATGAATAATTTAGAAAATTAATTTTCTTATCGAGAATTAAAGATTCTCTGCAGCCACGTTTTATTTATGTATCATCATTATTATTATATTATTATATATCATTATATATCATTGCTTTTTTTCTGAATTTTAAATTATTTTGTTTCAATAAATGTCTAAATATTAATATTATAATGCTTTTGCAGTAATATTTTACTATGCTTTGTTTTAATATTTCAATTACATAAAATTTTAATTACTTATGCAATATATTTACTGCATAATTATTGAAATAATTGTTTTTAACGCTGTACTGATCTATCAAAAATGGAAATAACTGTATTTCTCTATTTATCCACCGGTTTGTTGCATTAAATAATTCTGCAAGTAAATCATGTAAGTATAGGTCGTCCCTCAGTCCTAAATTCTATTTTGGTATTAGTCCCGGTTTGGTATCAGCTATCAATACTGGTTTTATATAAATTAAACAGATTTGCTTGCGCAATATTGAAAGATCAAAAAAGAAGACGTCATAGTACTACAATTTTTTCATCAACTGAAGGCCCGAAGCGTAATATGCAGATGGCAATATGCAAAAACTGTCTAAATATCATCTCTCGCATGCTAATCTCACTCAACTTTAATAAGATAATCATTTAGTAGAGTAGTTTTCAAGATTTTTATAAACTGATGGATGAACTTTATTAATACGCAAGCATTTAATTAAATTATTAATTTTAAATTTATTTGCATTGGTTTAGTTTTTATAAATAGATACTTGTATGAATAAAAAATTCGTTTAATTAACTCCGTTTAATCGATTCTTCTTAATTAAATTTTAACTTTAAATCATAAAACTTCACAATGTTATTTATTTATGGTTTGATCTATTTGCGATATGTGCATTTATTATCTTTCATTTAATTGCCACTTTAATAACTTCTTTTATGATATCTACACAGGCATTAGAAATTATTTAATTTCCGTTCGTGTGCAATTTTGTAATTTTATCTTACGTAAACCACGCACTTCTAGAAATAAATATAAATGACAGACTACATAAATGATTTCAAACGTAGCTTATTAACTCTATATCGAAAAAAGATTTCATTAATAACGTTAAAAAAATTTAATTTTACGCACAATTATATTACAATTACAATATTCAGAGCGCTCAATTTTATTCATAGGACGAAATCCCTATGTAAACTCGCGCCGAATTAAATATGGCAATGGCATGTATACCGGTTTTCGCAGGTATTTCACAATTGTTAAGTACGATATGGAAATGCGATTTGTATATTCAATGACTTGTGACCCCTTCTGTACGTGCTATATATTGAAGAACTAGTAAGGATGTATACAGCAGGATGTATCATGTCTCAGAAGAAGTAGCATACATATTAATGTTTTCAACAAGACATTAAGAATATATGAACTGTTAAAGAATCGCAAAGTCGCTGACAATTTTCTCGCGAGTCTCGGTGCCGAAGGTCGCGAGAATAGGTAGCCGGAACTTTTTAAGGACGCGACCGAGAAAGTCACTGACTTCAACGCTATCGATAATGATGTGCCATTATTTTACGCAGGTACCTATCGACCGTAAAAATTATTTGTACGTCATGCCGGTAGTGCCGTTTAAAACGCAAATAAAAAGAGAATTAATTAAAAGTTCTCATGTGTCGAATTGAAAAATTAAAGTGGAAAAAACGTTAACCGCACACAAAAAAGATCTTTAGAGAGTAGAACAAAAAAAAACATAAAAGCCCTTATAATAGTCATAAAATATTCGCGCTAATATATTTAAAGCTTCCGTTTTAAAGTTATTAAATAGATGGTAATCAGCTATTTTTTGTTCAAAGGTCTATTAGACAGGTCGACGAGCATTTCCTTCGTTGTACGTTATGAGCGTTTGATCGATTATATCCATAGCGAACGTCTTATTTTCTCATTATCGAAGCAGCACATTATGGATGTGATAGTGGATTACGCACGATTAAAGCTTGCAACATCGACACCTAATCTTTGAACTTGCGACAAAAAACGGGGAAAGGGTTCGAACAATTTTAATCGATTTCTCCTTAGTGATGCAATTCGTACGATAGCAACAATGCTGTCACCGCGTTGAGAAAACATTTATCTTACACTTTTTTTTACGTATATTTTATTTATTTATTCCTTACCTGAAACAAGGTACGTGCTGCATAATTTAATCCGCAAAAAACTGGTAAACATATCGCGACGCGTGACTGCGGAAATAAATATACGAATAACAAAGCGTATATAATTATCGTGTCGAGTCATGTTGTATTTCAAACAATTAATTAAAAGTAAATCAAAACTAAAGTGCCGTTTAGGCCGCTATTATCTAATTTATAATGTCACGAAACCTGCACGCCTAATCAAATCGAATGAAACTGCATTCCATTTGCTTATTAACGCATTGCTGATCTCCGGTCATATACATATAATGCGCGTGATAAAAGACAAATTTATCAAAATAATAAATACTTTCCACAATTCAAAATTGCTCTGAAAATGCGCTAAAAATGTTTAAAAAATTTTGAGAGAAACATCTGAACAAAATTATGCGACAAAAAATAAAATTAATAAAATAAATAAAATTAATATAACAAAAATCAAAGAATAAGGACTCAAAACTAGCATTTAATTTCAATTTTCTTTTTGATTCACTGTAATGTAGGTCGTCTTTCTGCTATGTTGAAAGACAGTAATAAACCGACAACAATAAATTGCGCTGCAAAGAATTTTTACATTTTGCATTTATGCAAATTTTATAATTATTATGTCGAGCAATAATTATTACGTCAAGAATTTTTTAGAAAATAGAATCAATCGGCAATCTATGTAAAAACTCTCACGTTTGGAATTAGTTTGAAATTGCTATTTTAACTCTGTGTGTGGAGTGAACGCTTGCGTGATATCTGTCATTGTTAGATGGTATTTTATTATTTATCTCATTTTTATATCTTACTATGTTAATGATATTTTTAATTTCAGCGATTTACAATGAATTACGTATAACACATCATATAACACAAAAAGAACAAGATTGCTTCGTAAGCATTATTTCAACGAAAATAATGTTTATAAAAGCATGCTCTTGAAACGCTATATAGCTGAAAATAAAATTATTTTGTGTATAATATTGTGAATAATATTGCTGCTAGAATTATATGCAGTTTTTTTACACTTTAAATTTACTTATTCCATACATACATATTATATATTCCGAAACACTGTTGACCTCAATG